AAGTTCAAACAGAAGTTTCCCTTACAAGCACCATGACACCGTGCTTTCATTTCTAAGAAGGCATCAGCTGAGGGGTGCCTTTGCTGACCACATCACTTCAGAATGCAGCTGTTTTTCAGCCCTGGTTTTCTTATGGGCAATGTTGGCATCAAATTTCTATTCGGGGCTAAGATTGTATCTGAGTTGTATTTCTGAGTATTTTTTTCTCTAATTCTTTTCCCTTCCTTCCCAGGTATCAGATCTATATTTTCCCCCATTAAGTTTGTTGGTGCATTTTAGGTATGCAATACAGTTGCATTCATCATTGGGATCTTGTACCTTTACAAGCTATGTCTTGGTTCTTATTTTTTCCCCATACCCCTTCCCTCCCTTTACCCCCTCCACCCTTCCCTATTTAAAAAGACTTTGTTTCCATTTTTTCTTTTTCTTATATTTTTCTTTTTCCTTCTTCCCTTGTTTGAGGCTTTTTCTTCCTATTCTTGTCCTTACTGTTTCTTTCAAAGGCAGTAGTCCCTAATAAATTATTTGAACCTTAGTCTTATTAGGGATACAATAGAAATCAGGTAATAACTTCCTTAGAGCATTGTGTGATAATTAAATTGGGTGATAAATGTTGATTATTTGGTAAAATCTAAAGTGCTAAATAAATAAATTATGGTACACACTCTTACTATCAATGCCAGGAGTATACAAGATACCAAATAGCATTTTACAGAATTGATACATCAAGTTCTTTTCCTGTTTTTAGGATCTTTTTTATTTTGATATTTCATTCCTTTCTGTACAGTGATTGTTGTATTTAGTCACAAGGCAGAGAACATGGATATCATGACACTTTTTGCCATATACCAGGAAGTACAGACCAATTTATAAATGGGACATCAGTTTTTCTTTCTATCTTTCCTTCCTTCCTTCCTTCCTTCCTTCCTTCCTTCCTTCCTTCCTTCCTTCCTTCCTTCCTTCCTTTCTTTCTTTCTTTCTTTCTTCTTTCTTTCTTTCTTTCTCTTTCTCTCTTTTGTTTTTTTTGGTACCAGGGATCAAATTTAGGTGCTTGTGCTTGCGAGGCAGTCAGTGGAACCACTGAGCCAAATCCCCAGTCCCTAGATCAATTTATAACCATTATATTATGGATTAACTCAGTAAATATTTTAGCACTTGTTGTGTGCTAGGAATTAAGATAAGTAGGATAATAACGAACAAAATTTAGAACCGATTGATCTAATTAGTAAGCAGTTTTCTAATAGGAATTTACTTAGTGATAAATGTAGTCTAATCTCTAGAGAAATCGATATTAACTCCTTTAATCTTCTCAAAACCAAGTGAAGTAGTTACAAAAGATATAACTATGCACAACTGATAGACAAAACCAAAACAAAACCAAAATAACCAAAGCATTGAAAGAAGTAAAATAACTTCAAGATTAAATTGTTGATGAGTGTCAGAGCTATACTTCAAACTTTAGTCTGTTTCAATAATCCTTAAACTAATGATTACCAAATTTTATTTTGTATCCTCTGAAAGAAAATTATTAAAACACAGATTGCTGAGATCTATCCTGACATTTTTGACTAAGCAATGCTGTCCCTGTAAATGTGCTTATAGTCATGTGGGTTTAGGGACAAACTCTGTTTTGAATATAAAGCTACTTTTATTTCATATCATTTAATATGTACTGAATTTTTGAGAATGAAACTTGCAAATACATGAGTCAGGTTTATTCTTGAATTTCACTAAGTGACAATATGACTTTCAGCAAGTGATGATTCAACTGTCTGGATCTTTACTTTCCAATATTAAAATTACTTCATCAGAACAAGAGGTCTCCAAGATCCCTTTCTACTTTCTCATTGCATAATGTTTGTCTTAAAATTCCTTCACAATTGTGTGCTACTTTGCTTACAGCCAAAGGAATTTCCAACTTGACTCGTTCTACAATATTGATGATTCAGAAAGATTTTTAATGTTTTAACAGTGACACATTTGCCCAGAAATTTAGGAAGACAATGTTACTCTTCAGTATATTTGTAAACCTAAAAATAAAACCTAGTACTAAAGTGTGGCCCTCACCCTGACCTTTGTAGTTTGCTCCCACATTACAGAGCATTTTCACCTTTAAGCTTTCAGAGGCAATTAACTTTCGCATTTTTTCAATATTAGCTTTCTACATTTAACATTTAATATTCAAAGACACTTTCTAAGTGCTGTTAAACCTGAATCTAGGAAGATAAAAGGGAATGGATTGGATTAGCCCCTTTTGAATGCTTATAATCTGATGGGAAAGTTGGACATGTAACTATCGGTGAATAACAGGATGAGGATGAAAGTGACACATCAAGTCTGTCTGTTTCCCCATTGTCCCCAGGGCCTGACATCTAGTTGGCCCAGTGGGGGAGAGGAACCTAATTACCTGCAACAGCCAGGAACGCCAGAGAAACTCCCACACAAAAGGTGATATTTAAATTCAGCAAGAAGGAACCTGAAAATAATACTACCAAATAATCGTTGGCCTTCAGATAGGCACAGGTGGAGCAATTCACAAGGCCAGGCTTCCTCATCAGCAAGCTTTCTCATACTAGGCGAACTACTTCCTCTTTCTGGGTCTCCCGCTTGCTTTTAATCTGTAAAGTACAAGGGTTTGAGCAGCACAACTTCTGGGACTTTTTTTTCCCCTCTTGTGTAACTAAGTCCCTTAAAGTTAATGGGAAGTGGAGGTGAACCGCACATTGGCACTTCAGCTGAGTTCTCCTGTTGGCAAAAAAGCAAACATTAAAGGAAACCAAATGTACACACCCCCACACACATACGCGCGCGCGCGCGCACACACACACACACACACACACACACACAGAGTAGTGACAGTTGGAAAACGGAAGAGAAGCGAGGGCTTATGATTGGCAAAGTCTTCATGGGAGGAAAACACTGAGGCAACTGCAATTTAGAACAGGGGAGAAGAAATGCAAGCAAAAGAGAACTCCACTCGGTAGATCTCTCCCCGTCTCGGCCCTTTTCTCACCTTTGGTCTCCTCCCCCTGACCAGATTCTGTTGTAGTAACCCTGGCCTTGCAACGTTTTGAAAGTCCCTTTAGCAGCAGAGCCCGACCCGCTTCTCACTGCAGGGGTCCCGTGGCAGCGGCTCCCGAGCCGGGCGCTCCGGATCACACCTGAG